AAAGTTGGGGTGACCAAGCCTGTGGTGGAGGAGGACGGTGGGATGGGAGAGGGATCGACAGGAGCAGGTTGGGTCAGGGGGGAGGGGGGGAATGGTTGGGTTAGGAGGGAGAGGAGGGGGAGGGATGTGAGGTGGGGGGAGAGAGCGGGAGACTGCCTGGGCAGAGGGAAGACGAGGAACTCGAAGGGTATATAGGCGGGAGCGAGGACAAAAGGGAATACGGGAGAGGAGGCGACCTGTGGGATGGTATAGGAGGCAGTGATTAGCGCGACCTGGGAAGACGGTGGTGATACCGGCCTGCTGCAGGGATCGCTGGGAGAGGAGATTGGTACGGAGGGAGGAGGTGTGTAAACCAGTAACGGTACTTGAGGGGAAGAGTGGACAGGGGAGGGTAGAGGTGTGGCGACAGGGAATAGAGAAGCTGGAATCGGCACCAAGGAGGGAGGTGGGGGCTGGGAGAGGGTGAAGGGTACCAGCATCACGAAGGACGGACGCGGTGGCTCCACTGTCAAGGACAAAGTCCAGCGTGGTGGAGGGGAGAGGATGTGGGGGAGGAGGTGGGACGGAGTACTGAATCGCATTCTCATTAATAGCAGCGGAATACATAGAAGGGGCGGGGGTTCCAGCCTGACTAACCATGCCAACAAAACCAGGGGAGGGGAAAGGAGTCACAGTGCCTGTGGCTGAGGGCGCGGGAGACGCGCCCGAGAGGTGAGCTGCGGAAGCGGCGGTGCCGGCGGTCCAAGCAGGGTAGGGCTGCTGGGGGGGAGCCATTGGAGGAGGTGCAAGGGGGAGCTGCGACTGGAGGTCAAGCTGCTGCTGCAACTGGGAGAAGAGGTGCTGCTGCTGCTGCTACTGCTGAAACGGCTGCGGCAAGATCTGCTGCGGAGTCTGCTGCTGCTGCTGTTGCTGAGAGACGGCCTGGTGGGCCAAGGGGGAGGAGACGGGCTGGAGAAGTGGGGAGGTACGAACCTCTTGAGGAGTGGGGCGAGGGGAGAGGGAGGACCAGCGAGGGGGGGTGCCGTTGTTGCCGCGGGCAAACCACTCATCACTGAGCGCTTTGAAGCAAGAATCAGTGGCATGAGTGGTCTGGCCGCAGCGCTGACCCCGCGTGGAGCCATAGCGAGGGAGATACTGACAAGGAGGAAAGGCGGCTGCTGCACCACGTCCTGCGCCATTGCCACCACGACCCGCACCACCACCACGACCAGCGCCACGCCCACCCCCACGCCCTCCCCTGGTGTTGCGCTGCTGAGCAACAGCTGCAGTTGAGGAGGAATGGCGCAAGAGGTCGGCCTCGGTGGTGATAATCCATTGGGCGACTTCAGCTGGGGTGATGCGCTTGTCGATCAGCTGCATGTAGGCGATCTTATGGGTGTCAAAGGCAAGAGTCAAGCCTTCAAGGAGGTGGCAGCAGAGCACTGGGTCCGGGTACGGCACGCCAAGAGCCGCCAGCCGCCGAGCGAGGTCGAGGACGCGACGCGTGAAGGCAGCTGCGCCGGTGGTAGAGTCCATGGTGAGGCTCTGGAACTCCTTGATGAGGGAGTAGAGGGTGGCGACGTCCTGCCGATCATAGAGATCGGTGAGGAGCCGCCAGAGATGGGAGGAGGAGGTGGGAGCAAGCTCGCGCTTGAGGGTGGGAGGAATGGTGGCGAGGAGGATAGTGAGCGCGCGGCGGTCAGCGACACGCCAGGCGGCGAGGTCGGTGATGTATGCGCGCTCGCGCCTGACGTACTCCGCGAGCTCCGTCTGATACGTGTTGTAGGCGGCAGTGGCGGCGTCATGCTCGGCGCGGGAAGCCCCGAAGAGCAGCTGCTGGCGGACGTGGTCGGTGAGGCCGGCACGGTAGGTGTGGATGGCGGTCTCGGAGCTCTGAGGGTCGTTGACGTGAGGGGCGAAGGTTGGAGGATCGCCGGGGCTGACGGGAGCATCGCCAGGAGGAGGATGTAGGGCCCGCGGGAGCATCCGGCTGGGCAGGCTGAAGACCGCGCTCCTCAAGATGGACAACGGCTTTCAGGTTGTAGCCGTTGACCGTCACCGAGGAGAGAAGCACCGTGACGGTTTGGGCATAGGAATGCCAATTGACTGCGGTGTTGTCGGGCAGCAGCTCAAGAGCGTCGACGGAGGTAAGGTCCACCGAGGATTCGAACGCCATTGAGGAGGAGGAGGGGAAGGAAGGGGGGGGGGAGGAGGAAAAGGAAAGGAGGAGGAGAAGGGGGAGGGAGGAGAAGGATAGGTGCGCGGAGCGCAGCTCTTAAGTCGCCAAGGAGGATGCGGCGACCGGCTGCACGCCGAAATGGCTCGACAGGAGGATTTGTCGACGGGCATGCGCGGGAGCTGTGACACATGGGCGCGCGGAAAGCGCGATGGAGAGGGCGCGACGACGGGCCGCGCGACGGAGGAGCGCACCAACGGGCGCAGTAGGAAGATGCGACGGGCAGAAGCGCGTTGTTAGGCGCGACGGGAGGCGCACGACGGAAGCGTGAGCGGGCGCGGCAAAAGGCGCGCGACGGAATAGCGCGGCGGGAGAGGGCGCACGGGGGGCGCGGGAAGTAGCCTAGGGAAGGGCTAGGCTTCGAAGACGAGGAGGGACGGCATGAGGCCGTGCTAGTTAGGATCGACTAGAGGTGGCGTGAGCCATTGTGGCTCTGAATACCAAGTCATAAAGTCACCAGTCCTAACCACTGGAACAAGAAGGGATGTCATCAAGAGGGTTAGGCTCCATATATCCACCTTCCCCGAGAGAAGCCTCCCCAGTACCCTCCCTAGAGATAGAGAGAGGATCGACAGGTTTATCCCAGTGCCACGACACACCCTCCCGCTGGGATAGCCTGTACACCACGAATTGAACCCGGGATGGCTCTGATACCATGAAGGAACTAGCTTGGAAGAGAAAATATTGAATTGAGTAGGGAGCCAAGAGGCTCTTTTGAAGCAAGGAAGAGTTGGAAGGGAAGCTCTCCTATTGGCCATAAAGTGGACCAATGGGAGAGGTTGCTTGTAGGGCAAGCAACCACAAAGTGTGGTGCTCTTCGATAGGCCACCATGTGGACCAATGAGAGAGATTGCTTGGAAGGCAAGCAACCACAAAGTGTGGTGCTTGGTGATTGGTAGGCATGCATGTTGTATAGATATATATTTTACAACAATGTCGTCACCCAACAAGTGCTGGGTTTTGGTTGGTTGTATGGCATCTTCGTCTGTCACCTGCAACAGTGCTAAGCGCATAGCGGTCACCGCCGCAGGCAGAGGTTGTGCGCGATCATTGTATTCGTCGCTGTCCTGCACCAACGGTGCCACGTTGCAGGCAAACACTGGTTGCTTAATAACTCGTTGGCTGAGCAAGTGGCCGAGTACACCACGGCGACGGCGATCTCGCGCATTCGCTGTACTCCTTCTAGACTACAAGTCCAGAATGTGCGCAGGACACCTGTGAGAATGAGCAAAGGAGTAGTGGAGTTGCATGGGGTAAGTAGGTTTTGCAGGGCAAGTGCATATAACTCGTTAAAAGCTCACCTTTTCACCTTTTAGCCTCCAATGAGCCAAAGTCTCTCGTCACGCACGACGTTTTCGCAACAGTCAGCGATTATTGATGGGTATTGATGCAGCTGCAAATCTGATGCGATGGGGTGGCTGGTAACCACCGTATGCCCCATCGCGGTTCTCCCCCTCCTCGGACAGCTCTTCACGCATCATCCATGCCTGTAAGTAGTTTGGCTTTGAGACGTCTCAAAACTGAGCTACTAAGGCATCCATGCGTTGGCGGCACGCTGCTCGAATCCGTGCCATAACAGGCTCATTGGCGAGTCAAGCGAAGCCTTAAGAATGTGAAAGTCAACCTTTTTCTATTTTGGGTACAAGGGTGATTGTTTGAGGCCTTGCCGACTCGAGTTGGCTCGTCTCGAGCCGGCCGGCCGGCCGAACCAGGAGGCTCGGCTTGTCAAATACTCCAGGCGAGCCGGACAAGCGGAACTGCGGCTCAGTTCATTGCTTCTGGTTTAAAGCCCGAATCTCATATTTCAGGCTGCGTTTCAAGTCTAAGAGCTTTGGAACAGGGTTACGAGCTGGGTGACAGACAGTTTCGAAGGTTGGGTTGCGTTTGGTTTGGGAGGGGTTTTGCTGTGCGTTGATTGGCTGTAAAAGCCAGCCTCGTCAAATTTTGAAGGGGGCGACAACCAAACTGAGGTTTGGTGTGCGATGCTCCCCACGTACAACCAAACGTAACTGTGAAATCGCAGGGTCCCAGATGCAGGGGCAAACCAAGTCTAAAAGGTTTCTGAATTGTGAGAATTCAATGCAACCACGGGGGAAACCCAAGTTTCTACGACGCAAAAACTGGGCGACGAAACCCAATCTCCCCTCACGTCTGTTTGTGCGACTCTGCCAGAACCGATTTCTGGTACGGCAAACTCGTACGAAATTCGCGAGATCGTCACCCCTCGCCTCAATCCACCTAAAATATTGTCTCTCGTCGACCAATCAGGCCTTTGGGTTCTCGTTCAACTCTAAAATGTTTGGAAATATGAGACGGGGGCTTAAATTAGTTTTCTTAGTAGGGCCAAAGTGTGAGCTTTTAAAGAATCCCCCCCTCCCCTCCTTCCCCTCCCTCTAAGAATGCCTATTTTCTACCCCCACATCCTGCTTTTGGCCTGGAACCTCTGTTCCGTCTGCTCCGTCTGTTTCGTCTATCCCCTCAGGTTTGGATGCTGCTGGCATCGCCGCTGCTGAATCCCAAGTCTTGGTCCTCTCCGGACCTCACATCTGGGCTCGGGCTGGCTGTGGCTTGGCCGAAGCAAGGCCAGTGGGAGAGGATGGTAGTGGCGGCAGCGTCGGCGGGGGTGGCGGTGGCGGTGGGGGTGGTGGTGGTGCTGGTAGTGATGGCGCTGGTGATGGTGGTTTGTTATATTTGGAGGGGAGGGGAAAGGGAGGAGGAGAAGGCAATGGTATGGGTGGTCGAGGCTTTGAGAGGGGCGGTGGACAAGAGGAGGGAATGTTGGAAGGTAGAAAGGTGGGCGGAGTCAAGCGGGTTCGGAAGGGGGAGGTGGAGCAGATGAATGAGGAAAGGCATGTTAAGGTGAAAAGTGAATGCGCTAATATGGGGGATAAAGGCGTGGGATTGGCGACTGGTGAGTCGGCTCAGAAGTCGAAGATGGAGTTAGGGATGGAGAAGAGGGGTCAGGAGAGAGAGGAGAAAGATAAGGGGAAGGAGAAGGAGAAGGGGAAGGAGAAAGAGAAGGGGAGGGAGAAAGAGGAGAGGGAGAAGGAGAAGGAGAAGGATGGGGAGAAGAGGAAGGAGAAGGAGAAGGAGAAAGATAAGGGGAGGGAGAGAGAGGAGAGGGAGAAGGAGAAGGAGAGGGACACGGGGAAGGAGAAGGAGAGGGAGTCGCAAAGGGATGGGAGGGAAGGTCTTGGAGAAGTGAGAGGGGAGAAGGACGCAAGGCGAGAGAGGAAGGGGGGGAAAGATGAAAAGGATGCGAAGAAGGTGGATGGGAAGGAAGGGGGAGGCAAACGAGAGAATAATGATCGGCTGTCAAGTAGAGAGGGGAAGCACAGCACGGGAGAAAGGTCCCCTTTGGGTGGGAGAGGTGATGGAGGAGGTGGGGTTGAGAGAGGAGGCAGGGAGGGGAGAGATGGGAAGGATGGGAGGGAGAAGGATGGGAAGGATGGGAATGATGGGAGAGATGGGAGGGATGGTAGGGGTGGGAGGGAGAAAGATGCGAAGGAGGGGAGAAGCCACAGGGAGGCTAGGGCCGCAGCAGAGCGGGAGAGGCAGAGGGAGGGGATGAGAAAGGAAGAGTGGGCGGAACTGCAGCGGCAAAGAGGGGAAGCTTTTGAGTCGAGTCAATGGCAGAACGAGCGGATGAGGATGGAGGAATCAGCGAAATTGCGTCTCCACAGAGAGGACGCACTGAGGCGTGAGGGAGAGTGGAGAAGAGAGGAGGAGCGAAGGAGGGAGGGAGAGTGGAGGAGGGAGGAGGAGAGGCATTTGCATGGAGGAGAGAGGGGCAGGCACGAGCAGGGGGGGTATTCCCAACCAAGTTATGATGATGGGCTCGAAAGGGGCGTGCATGATGCAAGGGGCGTGCATGATGCAAGGGGCGTGCATGATGCAAGGGGCGTGCATGATGCCAGGGGCCGTGAAAGAGGCTTTGAGGGGGGTGCAGGTAGGAGGCTGGACAGAGGCGCTGACAGGGGCGCTGATAGGAGCGCTGATAGGGGCGCTGATAGGAGCGCTGATAGGGGCGCTGATAGGGGCGCTGATAGGGGCGCTGATAGGGGCGCTGATAGGAGCGCTGATAGGGGCGCTGATAGGGGCGCTGATAGGGGCGCTGATAGGGGCGCTGATAGGGGCGCTGATAGGGGCGCTGATAGGGGCGCTGATAGGGGCGCTGATAGGGGCGCTGATAGGGGCGCTGAGAGGAGTCAGTACGATAGCAGAAATCCTGAGATCCGAATGTACATGCTGGGGAGGGATATGGATGTGGGGGGAGGAAGGGAGGGGGGGTATGAGGAGCGAGAGGGTGCGAGGAGAGGAGAGGAGATGTGGGGTGCGATGGGCGAGAGAGATTACACATTGAGGGAAGAGAGGAAGTACAGGGAGAGGAACGAAAGGGTTTACCGAGAGAGGGTTGAGATGGAGGAGGGCAGGCTTGCAGCCGAAGCAGGAGCAGCAGCAGCAGGAGGAGGAGGAGGGGAAAGAGGAGTTGAATCCGGCGCGCCAGCACCCCACTCTCAGCCATTCCTCAGCCCTCAGATGCAGTCGCTTCCCCCACATGCCCTCCCTCCCACTTCCCCTCTCACTCCCCCTCCCCCTCCCCCTTCCCCTCTCCCCCCTCCTCCGCCGTTTCCCGTCATTCTCGACTTGACCCAAGGGCCGCACCCTCCCATGTTCATCAACTCGCAATCAGCGCCCATCCCCATCTCGTTTGGCCGCCCCTTAGGCCACATCATGCAGGGGAGCGCGCTGCCAGCTGTTCCTCCTGGGTTCGGGCCGGACGAAGATGGCGGCTCGAGGCAGGAGGTGAGTGTTGGCTGGCGGCTTCAGTGCAGGTGGGGTTAGTTCGGTTGGGGTTAGTACGGTTGGCCCGCCATCCCGCATGAGTCTGGCACTTAGACGAAGAATACGTTACAAGGCAGCAGGAGGTGAGTGCACGGGTCAGGGTGGGCAATGGGTGTGCCGTTGGCCCTTCCTCTTTCCATTCCTCCTTCTGGACTTGGTTTGATCCACAAGGGAAGGAGTGGGCAATGGGTGTGCCGTTGACCATTCCTGTTTCTGGGCTCGTTTTGGCCCACAAGAGAGGGCTTTCTGCTGCTGCTGCTGCGAGAAGCCACACAGGGGCTCCTTTTGAGGCTCCTCAAAAACAGGGTGGGCAATGGGTGTGCCGTTGACCCTTCCTCTTTTTGGGTTTGGTTCGTTTTGGCCCACAAAAGTGGGCTTTCTGCCGCCACTGCAGGTGATTTTTGAGATTTCTCAAGAATCATCTACGACACGGTGGGCATGGGCGTGCCGTTGGCCGTTCCTCGTTCTGGGTTGGGTTGGGTTGGGTTTGGTTTGGCTTGGCTTTCTGCCGCCGCTGCTGCCAGCACACACACACACACACACACACACACACACACACACACACACACACACACACACACACACACACACGGGGGCTCCTCCAGTGGCTCTTCTACGGCTCAAAATGCCGCTAACTTCAAGGAGGCATCCGGAGGCATCCACGCACGCACCAGGGGAAGCAAAAGGGAATGCAAGGCGAAAGGTGGGGAAAAGGCTGTAACCGGCCAGAAAGGCAGGAGGAGGTGAGCGCACGGCCAATGGTGAGCAGGCGGAAATTATCTGTCTTTTTATCGTACTTTTTGGATGGCCCGAAACGAGAAATGCACTGGCGAAGTGAGAATGCTAGCAGTTGGCTGCTGATTTGGATAAGTTGAGAGATGATGCAGTGCTGATTGTGCTCAGTAGCTGAAGCCTGAAAGCATCATGTGCGTGCAACTCATGCCTCCAGCTACTGATTCTGACTGAGAACACGTCGGTTGTGGTGGGATCAACACCTCGCACAATCGAGCATGGACAACGGTGCAGGATCAGCAGCCTTTTTGTAGCGACTTTTGAGCGAGGTGCAATTTTGATGCGGCTTTAAGTCGACTCCTAAGCCACGCCTGCGAGTTCGACGCTGAGTGGCGCACATCCCCTCTCACCTAGTGGTGCTGTTGAGTCGACTCAAAAGCTGGCTCACATCCCCTCTCACCAAGCGGCGGGAAAAACCGTGCCAGACGCCAGAAGCCAGCGATTGAAATTCTTGTAAAACAACTCCGCTCGAAAGCCACATCTGCGACTTTGATGTTGTGTCATGGAAAAGGTGTCATGGAAAAGGTGTCATGGAAATTTTTATGCGAGCCACCAGAAGCCACTTTGGTTAAGTGGCTGGGGCTCTTAATCAGAGTGGCTGGGCTCTTAATCAATGTGGCTGGGCTCTTAATCAATGTGGCTGGGCTCTTTGATTAAGCACTTAGCCACTTCTTTTAAGAGCCCAGCCCCTTTGGTTAAGAGCCCCAGCCACTACGGGCGCTGATTTGATGTTCTCTAGGTGCTTCCCTCAAACCATGCCTGCTTATCGTCCCCCCCTGAGCTGATGTTTTCTGTCCCCCATCCGCCCTTCACCTTTGTTAAATCCACCACAGCAATTCTCTCAGCAGGGTTTGCACCCTAACATGGGACCTGCTGTACTTGTTAGTGGCTCAGGCCGCATCCTTAGAGGAGCAGATGACGTGGAGAATTTCCTACGCAACGCAGAGAGGCTGGAGGCAGGAGCAAACGCAGCAGCAACAGCAGCAGCAGAAGGGGGGCCTGAAACAGCCAGCAATGTGTTCTCACCAGCCCCGGCCATGTTAAGGCCGCAGTCAGCAGCAGGCGCACCACCTCAGGGGGTTGCAGCGAGGGAAGATCTGAGCAGCTTTCTTCGAAACGCAGAGAGGCTTGAAGCACAGTTCTCATCGCCTGCACCTCATGCCATCATGCGTGGAGATACACGTGGAGGCATGCATGGTGACACGGATGGGGAGATGCTTGGAGACATGCATGGGGAGCTGTATGGGGGGATGCATGGGACCACACGTGGGGACATGCGCGGTGACATTGGGCGGAGCATGGGTGGCCTACAAGGGGAGCTTCAAGACAACATAAGGAGCGCTTCCATGGGGCCAACGGGGCCGGTGATCCGCATGCGAATTCTGCCTTTCAACCCTCATGGCCCCCCGCCACCGCTTGGGACTCTCCGTGGGCGCATTCCTCCGGGCTTTGACGACGGACCGCCGTTTCCGGAGCAGCATTTCGGGGCGAGACTGCCTCATATGCAGCAGCAGCATCTGCAGCAGCAACAGCCGATGGAGCCTCATACGAACATTGCGCCCGTGACTATGCGAATGGTTGGCGAGCACCGCGTGATGGTCGTCGCGGATTCGCCTGCACCCCCTACTGTGGACTCCATGGGGCCGCCTCCGCCTCCGAACATGCTGCCTGAAATGCAGGGGGGCAGGCCTACATTCTTCTCTCAGCAGCAGCAGATGTTGCCACAGCACATGGGAGATGGTGTCCGGATTAATGAATTGCACACTCAGAGGTTTCTGGGGCCCCAAGTGTTCGACGGCCCACCTAACGCTCGACTTCCGCATAATGAAAGGTTTCATCCCCAGGGCGTTAGAGGAGAATTCTTTCATCTTCAACGAGGACCACAAGGCCCTCCACCACATGCCCCCCCGTTTGACCCACTACCGTTTCGCAATCAATATGGGCCCAGGGGCCCTTACCGTGGCTTCCCCGTGAGTGATCGAGGGGGGATGGAGGAACCCCTGCCGTTTGTCATTCGAGGTCCGTTTGAAGATGCAGGTGGGCCGAATACTGGGGGCTGGCTGGATGAGTAATGCAGTTGGTCGTCTTCGAAGTGAGATGTTATTTGTGAAACGCACAGGTGATTGTTGCTCCGTGCCTAAGGGTTCGAACCGTCATTGACATTAAGGAAGCTTAGCATTTTCTTTCGGAAGAGAAAGCCTGATAGGTGAGACTACCTTAATATGGCGGTTTTCTTGGTTGCGGGTGCTTGTTCAATACCTTGTTTTTAACTAGGAGTAAAGTTCAAAGTTCTATTATTTGAAGGAAATGGTGTTGCAAACATAATCGCCAGAAAATGGTCAATCAGTGCTCTTTCAAGGTATCAAGGAAAGGCGGTGATGGGCGAAAGCTGCGGGCCGTGGACCTTTCGTGCGAGTGCGATGAGTGAATCTGGCCTCGCGAATTTGCTGTGTCAAGGTTACGGACATTCCCATTGTTCGGCCCTTCACTGGGGCGACTGAAGAGCCCTTCAGCGAGCGTAAGTGGAGCTGCTGGCCGAGGAGCCTTACCGTACCAGATTCCGCCGCATCGCACGGGAACGATAAAACTTGCCCTAAACCGGTCTGCAACGGACCCGTAGGGGCAAACCAAAGCCGAATCAGCCACATGCACGCAGGGGCCTTGCTCTTGCCTTGGCTAGTCAATCGTGGCTCTTCCGTGTCTTGGAGGACTGCTCGAGTCTCACCATCGCGTCGCAGTCGTGCGTTACTACTTGCCGCTCACTCGGAAAAGTCAAGCGTCGCGCGACTTCCTTCGCCTAGAATAAACGCAATGATGCATCTAGTGTTTTTTTTCCTGAATGCTCCTAGTGAGACTCCACTGCATGTGTGATGGTCCTTTTCAAAGCACCGCTCGGCTCTCACTCGCCATCGTGTCGCAATCATGTCGCGTGGGGTTCTACTCGCATTATAGGGTTTCCGGGAACCAATTAAACGCGAAGCTCTGAGCTTTTTCGGAGGAACGACCAGAATGGCTAAATCGGATTCGACGCCAAGGCCATTCCGTATGCTGCGCTCGCCATCTGATTGGGTGGATCGCGATTATACGAGGTGCGCCTCGGAGCTTTCTGAGTCCGAGCCCGGTTTTTTCGCGTTCGGCATCTTCGCGGAATCCGACCCGCCCGTCACTCCCGCGCCACCAGCAGCCTTCAAGGAGCTATCCGGATAGACGCGCCGAATAGACTCCAGTCAAAGTTGACGGCGCGCCTATCCGGTGGGGGAAAGGTGCGACATTCACGAGCTCCCAACGTGACTATAAACATCATACTCCGAATGAGGGTGGTTCTACTCCGAGTAGATACTCATCCAGCGGTACTAATCCGCCTTCCACTCTTCCATAGTTCCAGCAACCACCCCCGCGCGCTTCCTCTTGCCATCCGAGCTTGCGGATCTTTTCATCAATCCGAGCTTCCGAGAGCCATGGCATTCACTCCGACTAGCCGCGTCTTACTCTTAGGTAAGCCTTACCCCCGCTGCCGCCATGCGAGTACCGCTTTCGTTGCATCACCACATCCTAAATCACACATCCGCCGAATTCGTTGCATTCCCGATCTTGATGGTAACCTGTTCGCTGATCGCCTGTTTCCATCGCACGTGCTTTCGTGCAGCGCTCTTCGCGGCGCTGGTGGCGGTCGCCTATTCCCAGGAACTTGGTCAGTGCGTCGGGCTTCCCTTTTCAGGCTGTCGTTTCTACCTCACTCCTCACCTGGTTGCCACCTGTCGCTGTTGCTGTCTTTTCTACCTCATCTCCTCTTTTCAGATCCCCATTCTCACCATATTCGCCTCAAAACCCCTCTCTGCCTCCCCCCCCCTCCCCTTCCCTTCTCCCTCCCCCTCCTCTCCCCACTTGTTCCAACCGCTTCAACAGATACCTTCACTGCTAAGCTGAATGGAGCTAACGAGGTGTATAAGAATGACGATGAAAATTTTAAGCTAATTGTGGGCAACAAAAGTGGCAAGGTGGTCGTGAAACTGGAAATCCACAAGGAAGTCCGTTGGGGTTTGTGCCGTCAGGAGCGGAGGAGGGAGGATGAGCACAGGGCAGGAGGGGTAGAGAGAGGGGGAGGGGTGCAGAAGGGCTAGCACAAGGCGGAGAGGGGCTTGCGCAATGCGGAGAGGGGCTTGCGTGGAGGAGAGAGGGGCGGGCATGAGCAGAGAGGGCATGTGCGGCAATGCTATGATGAAAGTAAGTTGGGGTTTTTAAGAATTCTCCATAACCAACTTACCTCAGAGAGGGCATGAGAGCGGCAGGGCTAAGATGATGACAGGCTCGAAAGGAGCGTGCATGATGCAAGGGGCCGCGAAAGTGGCTCTGAGAGGGGTGCAGTTAGGAGGCTGGTCAGAGGCCCTGATAGGAATGCTGATAGGGGCGAGGAGAGAGGAGCTAAAGCCCGACCGGTAGGTTGCAGATTTTCACTGTTGAGGTAGGTGGGGCGGCAGAATGTGATTGGCTGACGAGAAATTGGAGAGGCGAAATACTGTTTCAGAAAATGGCCTCTCGCCTAATTTTCAGCTTGAGCTTGGCAAGAGCGCCAAATTTCGTGCCTCTCTTTTGGCAGGGGGCCACCTAGGCAGCAGCGCCAATTTTCCACTCCCCCATTTTGGTTTTTTTTCCAACATGCGAACAACCGTGTTTGGCCCTCGTCATATTTTGTGCAAGATTGCGCAAATTTCACAGGGCATTGTGGTTTTCCAATTTGTGGCTATCGCTCTGCCAAGTTTGTCTCGGCAGCAGCTGTGTCAAATTAGCCCCCCTTTCCCTGTCATTCTGGGCTTAACCCAAGGGCCGCGCACCCCAATATTCATCAACTCGCAATCAGCCCCCATCCCCATTGCATTTGCGTTTGCATTAGCTCATCATCACATCATGCAGGGGAGTGCGCTACCTGCTGTTCCTCCTGGGTGCGGGCTGTGTTAAATTACATGTATTATATGTATATATATATAATTGTAGGCTTGGTAGGTGTTATTGGATCCTACTGTAGAGGGTACTGTCAGAAACCCAATCACTAACCACTGGGTTAAAAGAGCTTGTTAAATAGCGGGTAAGTGCGCCCATAACCCCCCAGGCTCTGCACCTGTGGCCCTTCTCCGAGTATCTTTTTTTAAGGGTAACCCAGCGGGTCACTCGACAGGTACAATCCCCTTCTTGTATCCCTCTCTCTTCTAGTCCATTCCTCTTCTCTCGCGACATTTTCTCCTATCCTAAAACCTCACGCCACTTCCATGGCTTCCATCATATCCTAGCTTGTTCAACAGGCTGGGCGAAGATGGTGTGACAAGGCAGCAGGAGGTGAGTGTGGGTGAAGGGTGGGCAGGTGGGTGAAGAGTGGGCAGGAGGGTGAAGGGTGGGCTTGGGCGACAACTATCAGAATTAGCGAAGTGAATGATTGAGTGAGAGTACACACAGATATACCTAAGTGTTGTACCCTCTAAGAGGTGACCCTATACAGTCTATACAAATATGACAAATACACATGTTTGACACACCCCCTAGACTGCATAGGGGAATGTCCTAAACAAACAGCTCAGGGCGGCACTACTAGTCCAGCCACTGGGAGAGGACACAAGTCCAGTCTGAGTATACATATAAAGGACAGTACAAAGTCAAGGTCCTAGCAAGTGAGAAGCTACAGGAACTAGACCAAGCTGTACACAGTGCCGCTGATGATCTTTAGGCGCAAGCGCCTTCGTAAAGATATCAGCCGTGTTGGCACCTGAGGCCAAGTGTACTACGCGAGCCTGACGTCGCTGCTGTAGCTCACGCAGGAGGAAGTACCGCAGCTGAATGTGCTTCGCTCTGCCCTCGAGTCGAGGCTCCTGGCACAGGAGGATCATGGCCCTGTTGTCAGCGAACAGGACCGGGGCAGAGCTAGGCCGCTCACCTAAGTCAGTGAGCAAGAAGGTCAGCCAGCGGAGCTCCTGTGCCGCCATGGCACCAGCGTAGATCTCAGCCTCACAGCTGGACTGCGCAACAGACGAGGAGCGGGTAGCTCTCCACGAGACGGCAGCTGAGCCAAGGCTGAAGCAGTAGCCCTGGGTAGACCTGAGTGTCTCGGCGTCGTCTGCCCACGAAGCGTCTGTGTGTCCAGTAAGGACCACTGGCCTGCATCCTCCTAGCACTAACCCCATGCCCGATGTACTAGCAAGATAACGCAGAACCCTCTTAGCGGCAGACCAGTGCTGCGGTCGGTGTCTGCCTGTGGCCACAAAGCGAGCCAGGATGCTGAGAGGGTATGCGAGATCTGGGCGAGTGCAAGTCATCAGGTACATGAGGCAACCCACCAGCTCTGCGTAGGGGCCGCTGGGCTCTACCATCTCTAAGGTGCCGGTGGATCTCCAAGATGCCATCTCCTGCTCCATGGCAGCTATCCACTGTGAGGCCCAGGGTCCCGAAGTCGCCTCAGCGTAAGTGCGAGGGGTCGGGATGTCGAAAGCGTGTGGGTCACCCTCAGGGACTAGTAGCATGGAACAGAGATGGGGAGCAGCCTCGGAGAGGAAAGCAAGCTCGAACTGGCGGTCCTCCAGGACGTCACTGCCAAGGGCAGGAGCACCCCCGACAGACGGAGGACAGGGAGGGTCAGAGACCAGAGCTGTGGCGTAGTCAAGGCGGCGGGTAGAGGCGAAGTCAGCGACAGCAGCGACAAGAGCGTCAAGGCACGAGACCGGAACAGACGGGTCGGAAACGAGAGAGGCAAGGACCCGAGGAACAAGGGGACGAGCGGCACGAAGGTAGTCAGACAGCGGGGGGGGTGCAACAACAAGGGAGGACGGAGGAGGCAACGGCAGAAGGGGAGGAAGAGACGCGTGGGAACGAAGCAACATAGGGTGGGAGCGCAAGACAGGCGAGGCAGGACGAGCACGGGAGGGACGGTGAGACCAGACGTGCGACGGAGGAGTCGAGTCAGGAGACAGGGGAGGGGACACAGGAGGGGAACGAGGGGGGAGACAGGCCAGGGACGAGTCCGGCGGAGGGAAAACAGGGCCGTAGACAGGAAGAGGAGGAGACGGTCGGGGAGGAACAGACGCAGGGTCGGGGAACAGAAGGCCGAGCAGGCGAAGGGCTGACACCGGCGGGGACTGCTGCTGCGGTGGCACAACGGCGACACCTGGACCGCAAGCTGCTCCTCGGCTACCCCCGCCACTCTCCACACCAGCACCCCCAGAGGGGCCACCCCCAGGGCGACCGTGACGAGCACCCCCAGAGTCAGCGAACGGGGGCTGCGACGGCGGCGGCGGCGGCGGCAGCGACAACGACGGCTGAAGCGGCGGCAGAGGTGGTGGAGGAGGGGACTGGGGAGGGGACGCCGGGGGAGGGGCGGCCGGCAAGGACTGCACAGGAGGGCCACCAGAGTCAGAGGACTCCTCAACCGGGTCCGCCGACGGAAGGGGGGTGACGTGGGACACACCAGAGGGGGCGGGACGGGGAGGAGGAGGAGGAGGGGCAGGGACTACCGGGGAAGGAGTGACCAGGAACAGGGGGGGGTAACCGGGGGACCACGGTGGGGGAAGCGACGGTAGTAGGAAACGGACTCGTCAAAGGTGACGTCGCGAGAGTGAAAGAAGCGGTGAGACGGCGGGTGGTAAAAGTGCCAGTCGGACGCGTCAAGGGGAAAACCGAGGAAGACGCAGGGAAGGGTGCAGGCAGTGAGCTTGTCCGTGCCGGAGGCACGAACGTGAGCAAGGCAGCCCCAGACGTGGAACGCAGACCCGTCACCAGGAGACCCAGTCCAAAGACGGGTCGGCGAAACCTGCGGCTGCTGAGGGTGCGGCCACAAGTTAAGCTGGTGAGAAGCGTAGCGCACAGCGAACGGCCACAGAAAATGGGGTGCACCGGCATGGATCATGGAGGTGCGAGCCACCTCCATGACCAAACCGATGCGTCGCTCAGCGACCCCATTCTGCTGTGGGGAGTCCGGTAGGGTGAACGCGGGGAGAGAACCTGGGAGGCCAAGGACAAGACCGTGCTGGGACATGTGACGCAGACGCGGGAGCGCAGGGTGACCTAGGCGATGGTGCCAAAGGAGAGTCGGGTGAGTGAGGGACCGACAGGAGCAGGCAGCAGCAACCTGGGTAGACGCAGCCACCTGAGGGGGAGCCACGTGGACAGGGGGGCACCAGTGGCGGCCTCGGTACAGACAGCATACCGCTCGTGACCAGGGAACGTAGTGGTGACGCCAAGGTCCTGGAGGCAGCCGACACCAACTAGGTTCCTGGAGAACGAGGGGATATGCAGACCTGTGAGAGTGCCCGAAGGAACCGCCGGACAGGGAAGGGTGGTGGAACTGCGGGCGACTACCGGACCGCCGGAGGGGTCAGCAAGAGAAACGGCAGCAGGAACAGGAAGCGGCGTTAGGGTGGTGGAGTCGCGGAAGAAACACCGAGAAGCGCCAGAGTCCAAGGTGAAGGAAAGCGAAGCAGAGGCGTCAAGCGACGGAACGACGGCGGAAGCACCAAGACTACACAAAGCAGAGGATCCTACGCCTGACGCAGCAGGGGAGGCTACGCTAGGTACACCTACACTAGGCAACAGTGAGTAATAAGCTGGAAGCACACTAGAGTCATCAGCATACATCACATGCAGAGCAGAAACAATGGCATCCATGTCCATATCAAAGATCTGAATCTTACGACTAAGCAAACTGTGCCAGTCCGAGAGGTCTGGCGACGGGCCGAAGCGCTGACGGAAGAGGTCGTCCAGGCGACGAAAACAGCGGGGAGTGGAGTGACCGATCTTACCGCAAACGAAGCCGCGGCGAGGACCGGTCTGGATCTGGTACTGCCAACGCCCGCCACCAGAGCCACCACTCGGCACACCACCACGCGCCCGGCCACCACCAGCGCCGGGCCACCCGGGCGGAAGGACACTCGTCTGCCGCGTCTGCGACGGCTGCTGCGGCTGCTGCGAAGGCTGCGACTGCTGCGAAGGCTGCGACTGCGGCGGCTGCTGCGGCTGCTGCAACTGCAGGGGCGGCAGCTCAGCTAGACTGGGCAGGGTCCCCTCGTCCGCTCCAGCACCAGATGACCCGACCCCACCACTACCCCCTCCCGCACCCCCGCCTCCGCCTCCGCCGCGCCCAACCTTGGGGCGGCGGCCCTTCCCCGAACGAAACTGCGCTGCAGCAGCAGTCTCAGCCACTGCGGCAGAGCCGTCGGAGAAGGTACAGTGAGCGGGGGCACAACCCTAAAAGATAGGGACCGGCACGACACCGCTCGCCTGGGCGATGGAGCGGTGACGGGTCTCTATCACAGTCAGGGTGTCTACAAAGTCAGTGAGGGTGAGGTCTGCGGGGTGAATGCTAAGGAAGCGGTCGCGGGCGACAGCAAGGCGGTCAGGGAGGCGGGTGGCAAGCAGGTAGAGGGTAGAGGTAATGGGCGGCTGGTGGGCTCTAAGCTGTGCGTCAGTGCAGGCAGTGCGCCAGGTCTCATCTATCGTGCGCAGGTGGGCAGCGAGGTCAGAGACAGTGGGGAAAGATGCAAGGTCAGGAAAGAGCATCGGGAGGATCAGGCGACCCACCGAGGCAGCCGGAGGGGTGGAATAGCGCTGGATGACAGCAGCTAAGTATGCCTGAGCAGTGGTGAGGGACCTAAAGCGAGGGCGCTCGGACGGGGGAAGGGCGTTGCTAATTGCAAGCTGGGCGACAGCATCGCGAGAAAGCCAGACAGAGCGCGCACGGGCAGTGGCAGCAATAGACTCGCGCTCAGTGGGGGTGGAGTCAGCGGGCAGAATAGCAGGGGGGTCTGGGCAGGGGAGCGTACCGTCAAGGTGTGCGGAAAGCGGTTCACCATCCTGCCGCTGGCCAGTGAGTTGGCGGCGGAGGTCGGCAAGGCACGCCTCGAACTCCAGGGGCTGGCCT